TCGAGCGCGAAGGTGACCCCTATGCAGTCGATTCCGAATCGTCTGGCCACTCACTCTCACACCAGTGTCTGTTTGAAGACGAGCGCTGATCTGATTTGCTGTGATGACACGATTTCTCAAGGCCAAGGTACGGATAAATATCGATCCTGGGCTTCAGTTGTCGCCCTTGGTCGACCTGAGCGTGGTCTGTCCTGTACAGATTGTGTATCACGGTATCTGGACCATAGCCTGCTTATGACAGACTGAGAAACATTCATCGTCCGCGCCACAAACGCCTGTATTGTGCCGATCTGTACCATGCCAAGGGCACGTAACCTTTCATTTTGGGTAAGCCGACGCATATCAAAATTTGTTTTCTGGTCACTAAAACAATTAAACTGATGTTTCCACCCTGGAATTCAATGCCACAATGACTGTAACATTCAAAGTCAGAGTCGTGCAAATCTTGGGTTGGACCCCCATGATGATCCCAAGCATCACCTGCATTCCATGCGGTAGCTATTGGTGCGTTTGGGCGTCACATGTAACTGGAAATGTTTATTCTGTTAGGTTCTATAGCGACTTTTTTCGTAGTCATTTGCATATTTTAGTATTATGCCCCCAAAATCAAATATCCCCTCCTTTTTTTGAATAGTATATTATGAATAATACTACTGAATTAGAGGCATAGCTCCTTTAATAGAAATTACTGACTTCTTACAATTCATTTGAATATGCTTGGCCAGTCATGTATATACTATTCCATTATAGAAATCCTGAAAATGTTTTTATAGTGATAAGATAATTGCCATGTTTTTCATGTGTTATCTTGTTCAATTGCGCTATCTGAATTTATAGAATAGTTTGGTTAGGTATATAGTTAATAATTGATTTGACTATGGTATGTGTGTATCAAACTGTGATTAATTAGATGACCATTGTCATTCTTTACACCTTGACCATCTGTTTGGTTCACTGATTCACAACTGATCTAATTCAACAATTTATTTTTTGTGTAACCAAAATCTATTGAAATATTATCTGCACATAAATTAATTATAAAATATTGTTGTGAAAGAGTTAGGATTCCTGGACAGATTTCTGAAAATTATTGATGATACTTTGTACAGAAACGAAAAGTTATTCATTAATATGTTGATCACCTTGTGATATATTTATGAAATAACTGTCAATTTAATCATTTTCATGTGGAAAGATTGGATATTATTTTATGATAGTAGTTTCCATCTAAAAATAGGTAGATCCGGACTTTCTGTGCCATTCCAGACTGTTTGAGTAACTGGATCCTCCAATTGGGATTCCACAGTAGGTTCCATGAACCCACTGTACCTTAGGTGTCGTTTACAGATGTTATAAAGATATTCTTTTTTTTTTTCCTACATTAAGTTATTAACATAGCGATATTCCATATTGTTTTTTTCTAATTCTAAAACGACACCTTACAATCAAAGCAAATTGTTGAAATAAAGATTAACATGTTATTCCCAAAACAACCTAGTTTGTATTGAGTGGCTGTTACACCCCATTTCCCACTACCTCTATAAACAGCATTTCAACAGGGTTTCAATTTACCATTTGAAAATGATGATGACCTTTGTTTGAGAGAGGAACCCCTTTCACAGAATGCCTCTATAAAGTAAATGCTTTGGTTATGTCCTTGGGGGTTGGGTGACTTTATGGTCTAACATGTGCACAAGTCTGTCATTGAATTATATGGCGTTGGTTTTAATTCCCAGCTTGTAGGTGATAATGAGTATAGGGTCCCCTGTCCAACCTAGTTTGTGTCAAGTGGAGGTTAATCTCTCTCTCTCTCTCTATCTCTCGGCAATTTCCCAGACTCACAGCAGTCTTGGCGCCTTAGAGGAGGTATTGTATTATTTTGATCTGTAATAAACAGATATTAATGGAGTATGACTGATATCTCAAGAAGATTATTTATTGATTATAAAGAATAAGCCTGCTGCTTTTTATTTTATGTGTTTACTGTTAAAACTTAAAGCAAATGTTAAAATATGTGCGATAGAATTAATTGTTATATAATACAGATTATTTTTATTATTCTAGTTTCAGTATCAATAACTTTTATTTATTGTTATGTCATAATGATGTTTTTTATGGAATACTTTAAGAGTCTATATAGATAGAATTAAATGTGAAATACAGGTTTTACTGTTGACCCTATCCCTACATGGGGTCACCTATCTACACTTAACAAGCTTTTTTAATACTTTTGTTTATTTTGCCTATGGAGTTGAGCTGATCCTAGCTTATTATCTATCTATATTCAACACAGTTATAGATAGACTTATTTCATTTCATTCTCTTATTAATCCAGCAAGGATTAAATTAGGGCTTATTAGGTTCTTGGTGATCTTACAGTGTTAACCCCCCTGCCTTGTTTTGTTCTGTTCTGAAGGTATTAGGAAAAGCTATTAGAGTAGGAATTAGTAGGGTTTATTTATTTTGATAATAAATAGTCAACATTCAATTGATTTTAGTTCATATCAAAACTTTTTGAGTCAAGTAGTAAGGTCTTTCTGGATATATAGAGAATTTATCTGTGAATGAACAGGCCACCTCAACTCTGCATTACTCTATTTCTTGATCAGTAGAAATGTACTTGAATAAGAAAGACGTAGTTAATCATTGATTTATAGATCTATCATTCAACGACAAAAGGTGTCCGCATATTTCACAAATCATTGACATTACAAGGCCATACCATGACATTAGTCTTACTTGGATCAACTTACAAGGTTAGCTATCAAAACAACTTTCTATTTTCTTCTAATTTCCCTTTCTTCCTATATTTTGTACAATGATTCAAATCAATTAATTTATTTTTGGTTTGCTGATTGATGATTGTAGCATTCTAAACCAATTATAAATACTATAGATGACTTATTAATTAGCAGTCCTCAATATTCTATGTTCGTTAAATTCCTATAGTTTGTTGAAGGAATTTACTCAAGCCAACTGATTCAGGTAAATTTATGTTTTGGTTAAATTTTGTAAATTTGCTGAAGGAATTCACACAAGGTAAATGATTCACTTAAACTTTGTTTGCTTTCCAGACTATCAGCTTTTCAATTAAATAAGAATACTGTTATTAGACATATCGATTTAGAAAAACTTTCACAAGTGCAATCTTGTGAATATTTCATGACATTTTGATCACAAGAATCGTCTGGAAGGAGAAAACAATTAAAAAAAATAAATAACTGCATATAATTGCGTGTGTAATATAAACAATAAAAAACACAAAAAAAAAAACATCTGAAAGTTACAGGTATATAAATAACAGGTGGTACAGATATAATTTAATCTCATGTCATGTTTATTGTCAATAAATTACATAAATTCCTAATGTTTTATAGGATCCATGTCTCCTCAGTCTATTAATAAATAAAAGGCAAATTGATGAGACAATAAAGATAAAATCATAATATTCTATTAGCCAGTATCAGTATTACATAACAAATTTTATGTTAAATTTATTGTTTTATTTGCTTCATTTATTAACATTACTTTTTTAAATTAGGCATAAAGAATTATTTATTAAAAATCAAGACCACAAATAATAGATTTAAGGAAAATTAAGTGTCTGGATTTTGTTAAGTTTAACTGTAGGATAACTGCTAAACAAAATACAGACAGATCTAGTCATGCATACAGACAACAACACTGTTAGATAATATAAAATTAGCATAAAAGTAACGACAACACCGGAAATAATAGATTTGCTTGTGCGTGACAAAATGTCAGGCACTAATGAACTACTACTAGTACCTGACATTTTGACCTTTTTGCTGGACATGGCTTTTAAATATTAAAAACACAGAAAAAATACAAATCTATGCCCAACAAAATGTCAGGCCCAAGAGGTATTATGCCTAACAAAGCCTGAATTTATAGTATAGAAAATGAATTTGACTGGATATCAGTGAAATCTAGAATGGTGACAGAACAATAGCATATAAGTAATATCATCTTACATGTATTAGTTAAGTATGTAAACATAATTGTTTTGGTTATTTGAGATGTGATAATTCTATAAATGGAGCAAAGGTCAAGATTTGGATTCTGGACAATTGCCTACATATACAGTTTATATAGGATGATTCTAGTTGACTACCTTTTGTAACATAGTTCATATAGTTTCATTTCTGCTGATAAGCTCAAGTAAAAATTGTGTTCAACCATGGAGTAAAATGAATGTTCAATTATAGTATCAGCTGGATTTTTTCTTTTTTGACAATGAAGATTCCGTCTTTATTTACCATATTTGAAGAAGTTAGGGTTTTTTTTTTTATTGCTACACATTTTTTTTTTTAACTCAAGGTACAATTTTATGGATACACAATTATTGAGTTTAATACTAAGCGATGTTTCGACTAGGATACTCTCGTCTTTATCATTTGCTTGAAAAAGACGAGAGTATCCTCGTCGAAACATTGCTTAGTATTAAACTCAATAATTGTGTATCCATAAAATTGTACCTCGTGTTATATGTTCAATTACTAAATGCCAATCAAAGAAGACATTTTTTTAAAGTTCAAAATTTCGTTTTACTTGTCTTTACTACACTAGGATCTGGAAGAGTTGTTGTGTAACCCACGTTCTGGATGATGTGAGGGATTAGCCAATGAAACGGTCTCTTACAGCGAGTTTTTGGCATGTGTTGCACAGAACTGTGGGTATCCCACTAGAAACATCAATGCTGATTGGTTAATCAAATGCCTGACTTCATAGGGTCAAAAGCCACTCGTATGACCTCTGATGTGACCTCCCACTACAACTGGTCAGATCTTCATGTAGTACAGGCCATCGAAAGTATAAAAAAAAAACGAAACGAAATATAGATCTGTATTTTAATTAGATTGGAGGTACATTGTAATATGGAAATCCATTTTAGGAATAAGTATAAAAATGATTAAAATATTGGAGCCACCAATTAATTGTGTAATGCTTTCACTTGTTATATATAATATATATTTCAGTTGAGGACAGAAGAGGATGCAAAATTTAGTCGTATTTTAAACAAACAAAGATATCATCGTGATCAGTTAACTCATGCAGATTCTCAACATAATAAATCATTACAATATAATAAAACAGTGCTTAATAGAAGTTATTCACATGGTTAGTATAAATTATCACTCAGTCAGTTATATTACAGTTACAGTGTGTTAGCTCAAATGCCAAGATAAAAATGTTTTAAGTAGATGTTAATCTTCCTGACTACTGTACATATACATGAATAGGGCCATTAAACCTATTTCTAGTGGGTTGGGTGGTCAAGGGCTTTACTTTAGATCATAAAGTTTCAAGCCCAAGCTAGAACATGACAAGGAGTAGGGTTCCCTATCCAACCTCATGTATTTTCTTTGGGACCTCTTAGTTTTCCTGTCACTGATAAAGACCCGGATGTGCAAATGATTTGTTAAAATTAAACTGTAACATGTTAGTCCAAAAATGACCTAGTTTCTGGCGATAGGATCTCTCGATTTCTCTAAATAATGTGAGAGACCTGAGGGTGACTGACGTCACACTAGTTTTTATCTTTCAATCATTGTTTTTAATATTGCTTCAAACCTCAAACCTCAAATGGAATTTTGAATGAACTAGACATTGGGTTGGCAAAGATGTGTTGTTTATATTCTCAAAACACAGACAGACAGAAAGATAAAAAAATAATGAAATAAAAGGAATCGTGTAGGTAGATTGAGTGCTTCGATCAAAAGAAGAGAAAAAATGTTCTAATCAAACTTGTGTCACATCAGCTAGCCTAAATTCTCTGTAAAAAATTATATTTCTCAGAAACAGGATTTGCAAGTATTTTAATAAGAAAAACAGCTCTATGACACTGGTTCCTCTTATAGTTTCTCCCAGAATGTCTTTGGTATGCATGGACGACAAAGAATCATCTGATCTTCCAAGACTCAGCCTACTCTGTAAACTATACACAGTCCTTCATGTTTATAAAATTGTGTGGGAGCCATAAAAAGCTCCTGATACCTTGAATATATGCAGTTTAAAAGTAAAGAAAAACTGAAAGTAGTTTATTAATCTCAATAAACTCGAGAGGAGCAGGAGCGAAAGCTCCCCTTAAACGTGAAGGACTGTATACACCTTTATTAGCAGGCAGTGAGTAACTTTGTCTGAAAAATAAATTGTGTTATGTATCAATATGGGACTATAATGTTGAATAAAACCTGTAAGCCATCAATAATGCCATGTTTATAATGTTGTAATTTAATATTGTTATGCAGGAAGTGATAATTATCATTCACAGTCATCTAATCAACAAACACCAGATAAAAACCAATATCCTAGAGCTGCCTGGACTAGTAAGTAATATTTACTCTTAAGCTGATGGCTATATTTTAAACACAAGGTACAATTTTATGGATACACAATTACTGAGTTTAATACTAAGCGATGTTTCGACGAGGATACTCTTGTCTTTATCATTTGCTTGATAAAGACGAGAGTATCCTCGTCGAAACATCACTTGGTATCAAACTCAGGAATTGTGTATCCATAAAATTGTACCTTGTGTTTAATATGTTCAGTTACTAAATGCCAATCAAAGAAGGCTATATTTTATTTGTATGTATTTTCCATATCACATACACATTTCTTAGATAGATATTTAGAGGAAAACTTCATCGAATTGATTGAAAATGAAAGAAAGTTGGAAAAAAACCCAAATTAGATTATCATTTCACCATTACTGCTCGCCCCTTTCTTCAGTGTTATCTTTTCTGCATTTAGTGCAATGCAAAATTTCAATTTGACTTAATTAGCCTATATTATGTAAAGAGTAATATTCAAGGGGACTGCGAATAAAAGTTGATCTAGACAGGACACGGTTTGAACTCGTGAAACTCGTCCCTTTTAATTAAGGCAAGTCTATAATATCCACTCTATAATAATATTACTACTGAGATTGGGATTGGATTAATTCTAGTATTAGACAATTGAAATAAAAATGACAAACTTTTAGGTTTAACTATGAGTTTGACCCACTTAATAATATCATTTGTTATTTTTCTGATAGTTTTTGTATAAAACAAATCTAGGGACACCCAGTACGTTTTATGTGTGTATAATCGATAAAAGTTCTATGTTCAGTAAGAATTGAAATAGTATCAATATTTATATTAGATAGTAATCACTAATCTCAATAATGACTCGGATAGATGATTAGAGTGATATCATTGTCAGATTCAGATATATATTTCATGATTTATATTGATATTGCATGTATCTTGATTAAGATTATCAATATTAAATGAGATATTTTTTTCGAATCATTATAAATTGGTACTATAGAAACTAAATTCCATGTCATAATGTAGCTTGATTCCCGGAGGTAATAATACAATGGTCTTCTATGTTCTATTATTATGCATTGACTTGACCTAGATCTATATTTCAATAAATTCGACCACAAGGTAAATTAGGATGATGGATTCGAATATAATGGAATCCAAGAGATTTGGATTAGCTTTAAAAAAACCAGTTTACTTTGTAAAAGAAATGGATTTTGTATTAAAAGATGGTATTAAGAAAAGAGAGATGTATTTTTTATGGAAAGTTTATTAGAATATAAAGATCAATTCTATTATATCTATTTCTAGCTTATTCTTTTTCTAGATTGCCAGCTTAAATGTCAGTACAATCAGTATGTTAGCACTTTTAAATCAATAGTCAGTATTGATTGATTGTATTGGTTTATTGATTGAATGGGAGTGTGTTTCAAATAATGATTACATACACAATAAAACTCATATAGTTATTCAAGCATATGATGGTTTTTCCATTATAAATTGATAGCACTTTGATCTCTTTAATGTGATATTCCATGAAACCTGTTAAAAATTGAATAAAAAAGAGATTTTTGATGTATATTTTTATTGTTGATGCTTTTGAGCATGATTAATAGTTCTGTTGTTTTACAAAAGCTGATGTTATTGAGAGTCTGTGTGTCTGCCTACACATCATGTTTAGTACCAGAAAAAAAGTCTTATATAAAAAATTAAAATCTGCTGGTATTGTCTTTATATCATAGAAACTAAGCCAAATTGTTTTACAGCTACAAAATATATGGCAGACCCGCTGCTAAGTTTGATGTCATAATTTATATTGGCCTGAAGTACTTAAATCTTTTCTTATTATTCTGAATCTGAAAGAAAGGTTAGCTTCCATTACAAATAGGGAAGTGCTGTTGCTCTAACCAGGAGGTCACAGGTCACAGTGCCTGGCAATGAAAAGCAGTTATTTGAGGTTTGCACATAAATGAAGCCTTGAAAGTTGGATACAGAGAAGGCAGAAACTCTGTTGTCTAGACAAACTTTCACTCATCATAACACACTGCATGGCATATCCTTGTCTCAATGTGCAGAAAAATTTAACATTAAAAAATGTAATCCAGTTGTATCATACTTGGTGGAGATTGTCATTACACAAATGTAAAGATTTCACCTAATTATTTATTAATAAAGAGGATTCCATTATAATTAACATCAACAATGTTTTTATTGACAAGATAGAATCAATGATGGAGATTTGTATCAACCTTGTCTTGTTTTCAAATCCCATCCGATCAGTATTGTATATACTCATGTCATACTTGAAAATAAAATACTGTTTAAACCATAATAATTTCTCTGGGGATGTTCAGCTAAATTGTTTTTGTATTTTAGTTTTTTTCTAAAGATGAATTCTGTAGAAAGTCTGTTTAATGGAAGAGGAATAAGTTTGTTTTAAATGTTTCAGGTCAAGAGAATAAAATTTTAAATACACCCCGTCCTAATGAAACACATCATGCCAGTAATAACCTTTTACAAGATGTATCTATTGAAGGTAAGATATAAGTTTATCTTATATATGAAGTATAACAGTCTGTGATTGCATGTATGTGAGTTATACATTTTGAAACGTTCTCTAGCAATCTCTACCAGTGTAAAGGCAGTATCCTACTTTTTTTTTGTCATTTGACAGTTTACACACTTCCTTTTAAGCCTCACAAACAATATGCTGAAAGATGTGTTCTTCTTAAACGATGTCTGGAATTAGGCAATAGATGTTCAGATCATGAGACTATTGTCATTGTACAAAATTCCTAAACGTTGGGAATTGGTAATTGTAGGGTGACTATGATTTGTACCAATTATTTTTACTCAATAACATTTTTATTCTGTTTGAAAACATTCGTCTAATCTTGCTTTCTTCTTACAATTTTCATTTCAGATTGTGAGGTCAAAAGTAACATAAGTTTATTAGACTCTGAATCAGTTTATTTGCCAATAGATGGCGCTAAAACACCTGTTACACCCAAGAGACCAATGACTGCACCATCTTCAGATTCATCCAATGTGAACTCTAATTCTGTGTTAACATTTACCGTTCGGGAGCGACCTCAAACAGGTTTCAGTGAAAGGAAACAAGAAACTAGATACGAGGCATATGACAGACGACCTATTAAACCTTTAAATCAAAGCCTTGGTAGAGGAAGTAAAAGAAATTTTGACTTTTCGCCACCCCAACCATCTGGATCAGGACCCGCGATAGGTGTAAAGAAACAAACACCACCCACTGCCATGAGTCAGGATTACGATACAAGTATAGACCAGAACAATAGTGATCAGGAGAACATAGAAATAGATCCCATACCTACTGGTGGGCTAAGTATCATAAAAGATGTGATCGGTAATCGTAAAGCACAGGCTTTAAATCATCATAGCAACAGTGATACAAATAAAACTAAAGTGAAACTAGACAGATCTTCTAGTCTTAAAACCAGTGACAGAGTGGCCAAACCACGAACAAATTACAATGCTGACAAATATTTAAGTTCTTTAAATAGTACAACATCTAGTGGTGTTCAGACATTGTTAAATAATAAGTCAAAAGACTCAAAGAAAGGATCTACGTTAATTGCTACTAAAGATTCTGGATATTCATCACGACCGTCCAGTGATGCTGTGCTATGTGACACATCCAATATTGATGGTGGGTATATTTAATTTGTCGGATATCATACCTTTTTTTATTCACGTATTGATAATTTGATAAAATGATTGGTGGGAATCCTAATTAAATGTTCAGTGATAATATAATTGATGGGCATCCTAATGTTCAGTGACAATGCTAATTTCAAATATTTTGTTCTGTTTCAGAGCAAAAAGCAGCAACATCTATTCAGGCATTTTGGAAAGGTCATAGAACACGACAGTGTAATCCTGAAGTTGTGTCTGTACGTAATGAAATAAGAGCACGTCATGCTGAGGAACATATCGTATTATTGCAGACGGAATTAGAAAGGTAAAAAGCATTATTTACAATTTTTACTTCCATCTCAATTATACAGTCAGAGTTTATTGAAATATATATAAATATATATTACAGACATTCACTAAATCTTTCAGTAAACTCTGAATGTCTCTTAGGCAGCCACAGTGGCTCAGTGTGTAAGGTGCTAGCTCACTAACCAGAAAGTCAGGGGTTCGATCTCAGTGTTGGCAGAGAAAGTTCCCAACATGGTTTTCCACTTGTCAGTTTTTTTTCAATATTAATGTACTTTACATTGAATATTGATGTTTATCTTTGAAGGTAACAAGAAATTACTATAAGCTAACAGTAAATTTGATAAATAATATACAACTCTTTCAGACAAAAAAAGATTTGTGAAGATGAAAAGCGTTTTAGAGATTTACAAATGGAAGCTATTAGGAGTTTACGACAAGAAGTTCAGTCTTTACAAAATTGGAAGAATGAAATATTAAGTTGCCATAGTTTAGGTGATAGTCAAGGTTCTACAACTGCTAGTAATAGAGCTACTTTAACAGGTACTACTGATAGTTCCGTTACTGCCTTATTAGGACATGTTGAACAAACAAATTTAGAAGAAACATGTGCCAGTTTACAGTCACAGGTAAGAATGACGCTATTCATGAGTCCTATATGTAGTAGCCTTCTTTATTTGGAAAAAGTTCATATCTTCTGAATGGAGAAGTTTAATATTTCCTTCATTGAATTTTAAATATTAATGTTATCTTTTCCAATTGATTTATAATTAAGGTTTTACCTGTACTAGATAATCTTCTAATTTGAATAGGTTTACATAGAAACATTTGAAAGTCCTATCTTAACTGTATTTTCAATGGTTATTAAAAGGTATTTCAGTTACAAGAAACATTAGAGAGTTTAAATACACAAAATACAGCTAGTACAGGAATGCCAGATTTTGATGAAACAGGTAATTATTGTACAATTAATTTATAAAAGTTAATACTATTTGATTGTATATACCATGTCTGTTGTAATTACTATATAGAAGCCCAGAGAGCCCTTCAAACAAGTGAATTACATGTTATGAAATAAAGATTTATCCACACCTATAGACCCGAAGATCCCATTGCTCTCTCTCTCTCCCTGCAAATGAAACTTATTTTACAATATGCTTTTATGAAATCTATGTTTATATTTGGCCATTTAACAATTTGAATCGTTTTGAATACTGTTTATGATATTTCAGATTTAACTAGTGATATTTGTGTGACAACTAATTTTGATAATGAAGATGATCAAGCCGAAACATCTTTAACATCTGGAAGATGGAGTAAGTATCCATCAATATATACTATAAAGATAGGAGACATTCGTTTGAATCATTTATTCAAACTTTAACCCATTTAAGAGGAAATTCTGTCAAATTTGTAATAATTTGGGTTTATTTTATCCAATAAGTTTTAGCTGTTCAGATTCTATCTATTCAAGTATCAGTAGCACAAAAAATATTATATTTTTGGAATACAAATTAAACAATAATATTTAACTGGACCCATGTAGAGTTGAAAATATATCCCCCTTCTTAAAAGGTCTTAATACAATACCATAGATTAATTATATTTATTTATTTTGATTATAGGTAGTATTCCTCATTCCCTATCCCCTTACCCATCAGAGGAAGAGGATCAGTATTTTCGACAAGTGCCAGAATTTGGAGTGCCAACACCACCAAGAGGTTTAAAATTACAACATCGAGGAGATCAGTCTCTTATTTTATCATGGCAAAAATCTAAACTTCTTGATGCCAGTGGTAAACCCCAGAAAAAAAATATACTAGGTTAGCACATGAATCATCCTTTAAAGAAAAGATTTTTCCTGTTATGCAGGAGGCAGGGCATGCTTACAATTTTTAGAACACCTAGTAGAATTTAAAAAAAAACACTTTTCTACAGTTTGGAAGTGTGATTTGTTAACAACTTTGGTTGTTCTTTTGTATACACAGGCACTTGATGGGATTAAAATACTATAATATATAGTATAATATAGTCCAGCAGTTGTAAGAATTTTTATTTTAATCTCTTCAAGTGCCTGTGTTTGTATATTATCTAGAAATCGTAACATTGATTTCACGTATTTTAAAATTTGTTACAGAATTCAGAGCATTTAAGTTCGGTTATTTGTCTTCCAGGTTACAGAGTATATATCAATGATCACTGCCAAGCTATGGTCAGATATTATAAAAATAAAGTTTTAATAACAGGTCTTAGTTCCAATACAATTTACAAGTAAGTTAAGAAGATCTACTTAAAAGCATTGCTTTTTGTTATCTGTAAAAATTTGACTGAAATGGAAATGTTTTTGTAGAAAATTACATTTATGTCAAGAATTGTGGAAAAATTTGATAAGAGGAATATGTCTGCTGTAAAAATACAGTTAATACAAAAGATTTTGTGGTCCAATCCTCAAAATTATGAGTTCTAAATGGCAAAAAGTTGCATATGAAGTTATAGGAACCGCAATTATTTCAAATTCTAATAATTTTTTGGGGTTTTTTTTTTTTCAGATTTTATGTTAAAGCATTATCAGGACTAGGAGAATCTTATGAATCAAATATCATCATGGCTAAATTGGCTTTTACCCAATCAAAAACATCGTTACAAAGTAGTGAATCTGATTCTCCAGATAGTGAAAAGGATCAAAGCAGTTCTGGGCGTAGCGAACAACATCATAGAAAACACAATAAGAGACGAACGCGTAAAGAACGCTCTCCAAGATCACCACGATCGCAAAATACATCATACACTTCAAGTGAAGCAAAACCTCCAACCCCTGAAAATAGAAACGAATCTGCAGCGGCTCTACTTACACAACCTAGATTACACAAGCACAGACGCACAACTACTCGTGAAAATCTTCCATCAGATCCTAATGATAAATCAGATAATACAGATAGTGACAAGCGTCAGTCAACAGGAAGTGAAAGATCAGCCAATATTTCATCAACTAGTAACAGAACTGATTCATCTTTTACTTCACCAGGTAGAGACTCATCGTTGGAACAAAAATCAACCATTGTTGAATCTGATAAACCCAAATTCTTTAAATCTCTAAATGATAATGCGAATACAGGTATGTCAGAAACATTTACTGTAGATAAAAGCCGTTCATTTTTGGTAAGTTTAGGAAGAGCCAATTCATCTGATGAAGGTAGTGGAAAAACACATCGTAGATCAAGTAGCAGAGAGCGTGATGTTAAAGATGGTTTCGTGGAACTACGCCGTACACATTCCTCTGATTTATCTCCCACGGAAAAAGAAAATCTTGATACGGGTAAAACTCACAGACGCAAAAGAAGTAAAGATTTACAGAATCAGTTCAGTGATCTTATTAGTGATTTATCTGGAGAGCAAAAATTAGCAGACGTACAAAGTCAGGAAGGAAGACAACTACCAGCAGGTATTCCTATTATTGATGGCAGAAAACGTCATTCATCAGGTAGTCGACCAAATAGTCCAATGCTAGAGACAGCTGAAAGCAGCATTACTACAGAACGTAAACGAGTTCCTGTTGCAGACAGATTCCTCAATATTAATAGATCTAGCACCCAGGGATCTCATGATGATGTTCCTGAAACCATCCCTCATAGACAACTTCCTCCTTCCCCAAAGTCAAAAGGTCAGAGGTCACCAAGTCCTCATGGTAGTAAAGAAGATTTATCAAGTTCAGGTCGTAGGCGGACAGCTTCCTCTGGATCAGACGACACCAACAATTCATCAACATCTAAACAATCAGCCAAAGTTCTTCAAAAATTACAGCTCCTGTCTAAATCACATGAAAAGAAGCTGCATAATAAATCAAAAGAAGAATCTGTGGAGGGGGTTCATGTGAAGGGTGGGGGGAGAATAAGAAGAGTGAGTGATAGTGATTGTGATCAAGGAAGTGATATTAATCGTAGAGCTCCAGTACCCAGTGATAGTTCTGGTAGTCATTCAGATGATACATGTAATCAACCCAACAGATCTCACTATAAACATCGCAGGTAAAAATAACAATAATACTTTACTGAATAGTCATACAAATAAACTTTACATACATATAATCATTGTTAAAGTTTCAAAGTAAAACATATTATTCTGCAAAGAAGAAAATATTATTTAATTTGTAATGCATATTTTTTTTACGATTTTCAGAACTCCATCCGATCAAAGTGGTGTTTTAAATTTTACTCCCAATATACCAGTTGATAGACCAGCACATAGTCCTATAATAATGGATGGTGGTGCAGTTAAAAAATCCTCATCATCTTCATCCTCATCCACATCTAATGTCAAACGCCATTCATCATTTCACAGTCTTCTACCACCTAAACGTCAAGATAAAAGTGCTAGTGGCGAGGTATACTTTTTGTTTTTCATTTTTATGCACCCACATTGAGAGGTAATTGTATATTGCCGTCAGTCCTGCATCCACATTTGCTTGTGGATACTCTAAAGGATAAAGTTAATATCTGAATGGCTTCAAACTCATGAGACGAAGAAGCCTATTGATTTTCAAGTATGTTCGATAATTACTGCCAGAGCGATAGCCCTTGATCACTTTGAAAAGCCTTGTGGCCACTCTAGAGGTTAAAGTTGATGTCCAATTGACTTTAAAATTATACGCACTGTTTAAGGTCACAAGACAAAGAAGCTGATTTGTTTCAAGAAATTCCGAAAATTATGGCCCTTGATCTTTTTGAAAAGTCTTATGGGACGCTCTAAAGGCTAAAGTTAATATCCGACTGACTTAAAATTATATACATTGTTTAAGGTTATGAGACGAAGAAGCCTTTAGTGCATCGTAAATGCTTCATTACCGACAAAAGAAAAAATATGCGACAACCGCTGTTGACTGCCAATACGATTTCCCTGCTGTGGGCGTATGATTCGTTGCCTGGCAACCAAAATTTAGTAAATTAATTTTATCACCTCGATACACAAAAATTTATGAAAGTCTAAATTTTGTATCCTTTGGCTCAAATCTTTAAAGTTTTAAGTTACATCTTTATGATCAACTGTCTTTGGTAATCCACAATGCAACCAGTATGCTGTCATAATTATGGCACTTGATATTAATGGTTATATTTCTTGATTTTAGGATTTATCTAAACCTATTGAAGAAAATGAACTAACCACAAATAAGGTAAATACGTACTTCTTTAGAACACTTAATGTTATTACCTAAATAAATAAATTATTCTATAAAATACATTTTGAATGTTATGAATTTAAGAATTTTATGAGTAATTTATGTGTTTTTCTTTCTTACTAGGCTTAGAGATGGTAGGATTCTAGGTAAAACTAGATGTTAGAATATAAGAATTTGTGTACAATTGTCAGTGTGTCTTTGAAAATAAATCTTGTTGTGGTTATACAATTTCCCTCATAACACAATATTTGGGTTATGTTAATTATTTCTGATTGACTAGAGAGCACAGTCTACTACTCTGGCAAATGAAAGTATAAATTTTTTTTTTTTTTTAAATTGAAAATATCCACAAGTACAAATCAGTATAAATTAGCTTGAAGCATAGCTGAAAGATGTAGCATTAACTGGGTTAAAAAATAAACTTTTGTCACAAGAAATTCAGGGCAGTATTAACACAAATAGATTTGAAGAGAATAGATTATTGTAAATATGAATGTAGTAATGTGTTCTTTATTTTTTATTTTTTTTAATTTTTTGTGTATAGTAAAATAATGTACTTCTTATATGCCCACATTCGATTTTTATGGAATTGGGGATTGTAAATTTCAGAGATATCTTTCCATGAGTCTGAATTTTATACATCCACATGGAAATGTGTTCGTATATTGCCGTCCATTCGTCATCCACAATTTCTTGTGAACACTCTAAGGACTACATTTATTATCTAATCATTTTGAAATTTATGTTGTTTATATTAGTGAGATGAAGAATCCTTGTGAACGCTCATAAGTTATCATCCGATCTGTATGAAATTTATATGTATTATTTAGTTCAGTAAAACGAAGAAGCCTATTAAATTTCAAGAATTTCCGTTTATTACTTCTAAGGTTATGGCCCATAGTTTCACTTTGTTTAACCTTGTGAATGCTCTATCTACAACAGTTATTATCCGATACTTTCACTTTGTTTAACCTTGTGAATGCTCTATCTACAACAGTTATTATCCGATCTGTATGAAATTTATATGCATTATTTATATTAGTAAAACGAAGAATCCTATTGAATTTCAGCAAATTCTGTTGATTACTTCTAGAGTTATGACGCTTGTTTCATTTTGTTGAACCCCTTGTGAACGCTCTTAATGACAACCGTTATCATCCAGTCTTTATTAAATTTATATGCATTATTTAGATTAGTAAAACAAAGAAGCCAATTGAATTTCAGCAATTTCCGTTAGAGTTATGGCACTTTTTTTACTTTGTTGAACCCCTTGTGAATGCTCTAATGACTAAAGTTATCATTCTATCTGTATGAAATTGATATCAGTGTCTTGTAAAAGCTTCCATTACCTACAAAAGTATAAATATGCAACAATTCTTGTGAACTGTTCAAACGATTTACATGCTGTGGGCATATGTTTTGTTGCCTGGCAACCTATCTTTAAAGCATTTTAATTTTGTAAAATTTCTTCTTAGTAGCACATGAATGATAATTGTTGAACTCTTTGACTTGCATCTATTAGTACTTAATTTCTACTAAATATTGCTATTTCACTTGTTAAATCATACATATCTGTCTTATAATAGGTACTGTCTTATATACATTACAGTTGACTTCTCTTTATCAGTGATTTTTTTCTTATTTAAACTTGCCTATAGAATGGAAATTTGAGAAAATTTATAAATTTTATATTCTAGTAAACTGGTAAATTCTATTATGGTGATGTATCAATGGTCTTGATTATTATCATAATATGCAACACTTAAAGCTCAATTACCAGTCCTCTGAGAGTATATTTACAGAGCACACAATATGCTCACTATATAGATTTCAATTACTTAAATAAATTTTATTAATTTATAATTTCAGGAATTGTCGAAAAAGTCATCAAATCTGCGATCAAGATCCCCCAGTCCCATCACATCTCGCTTAACAACACCTGCCAAATTACCCAGCCAGCAAGGTCGAAAATCAAAGTTCTTTACTGACATTCTTTCTTAGAAACTATGTGATTTCCAATAATACGTGCTAGTAATATCCAGTGGAATGTACATGAATAACAATTGGATGGGAATCATTTGTTTTCTATTATTAATTATTTATTCATGTGTTTTGTGCATGGTTATATAGTCAGTATCATCACTATGTTGAAACCATAATGTACACAAAAGGAAATTTAGAACCTTTGGAAATGACAGGAAAGCATCACATTCATGATGAAGATATGAAAGAAATGCATTTGATCACAAATTTTGTGTTCTTAATATAAATGTTGAAAACTGCCTATTGATAACTAAAATTGTAAATAATTAGTTCATTTTTTAAAATAACTACACATTTAATGACAATTCATCGTTAAATATCAACATTATCATTATAGCACAAAACATTCTGGAGTTTAAAATCACTAAGATTTTGTAATTTTCATCCGTGGATACAAACTTCATAATATTTGTGTCTCAAGAAATTTAGTTATAATGGAAAATAACTGTGATTTCAGGCCGTATTTTCATATTATCTCCCCTTGGACAACAATCTTGAAAATGGTTCACACTGCAGACATTTCGTTATGGGGGGTATTGGCACAGAATGTGATTCGTTGATTCCAGATTACCCTACCAATCAAAATCTGTGGCACAGAAAAATTCCCCCTAATCTTCCCCCAAGGCTTTGATTGGTTGTCTAATCAAGGTCATCAGTAGTATTAATCTGCCATTGCAGACCCAAGGTGCCCTTTTCTTAAACATGTCTTCAGATGTGACTTGAGAGTGAAAGTTAGAATAAACATTTTATATTACAAAGATTGTATCAGAACTTTGTCTTTTGAAAGTGTCACTTGCACCATTAGCTGATCAATATTATATGGATGGCCGTATGTTATATTTTGATGACAATAACTAATTGTTATATAGTCATATTTTTATGACAATAACTAATGTTCATCATGATCACTTTCTCATCTAGATCTTCATGGCTATAAGAATTAATTATACAATTTGATTCATTCTCTCTTGATGTTTTATGTCCATCGTTGTTTCACCAGGGTAAATCAACTGACTTGTGTTCTTCAACACATGATGCACATCAACATATATAGATTATCAATGTTGTTTCCTTCTTGTGTCTAGTGGTTGATCTGTTATATTTGTTAGTTTAAAAAAAATCCTTTGTAATCGACTTATTCAATAGCTATATTTAGCTATAGTATAGTCTTTTGGAAGAAAGAATGCATTATGAAACATTTAATTTTGAAAGCTGTTCTCTGCCATTTACCTTTCTTTGTATGTGCATTTATTTATAAATGATTGTATAGAATTTGTAGATATTTTAAAGTTTGTTGAATAATAATTGTTAATGATGTTCTACTATTAACTGCTGATTGTTAGGAGGCATAAATCTTTTGAAAATGCTAAAATACTATGGAGTAATTTGTGATCAACATCCAAGTGCCTAGAATCGTATAAACAGAGTTGAAAAACTTATGTTGTAAATGATGTTAATTTTTTAAAGAACTTTTATATTTACTAAAATGAATTTTATAAGGTCTGTATGGAATTTAATTCTGGTATTTCTGTGATATCTTAAATGCCTTACTTATTTTAATGTACTTGTTATTTATCAATTTACAGGTTTCATGTCAGAGTAACAAATAGATTCATGATAAGCAATTTAATTAAAGTCATCAATTGATTATTATTTTCTAAAAGATCTTCTTTAGGAATAAAACCTGACAAAGTGTAAATTTGAAGCATTAAAATAATTATTTGCAGAGCTCTGAGCTTACATTTTATATTCCAAATTTTTATGCATCTAGTTTGAACTACTTTTGAGCTGTTTCAGCTTTTATTAGACTAGGTCCAAAACAAGACAGAAAAGTAGAACAAAGGCCGACTTTGAGGAATTAAATTTCCTAATTAAAGTGAAAGAACAATTATTGTCAAATTTTAAAGCCATGTTTATCTATTAAGAGAACTAGAAAAATAAAATGGCTTTACTTTTTATTGGCATTTATTTTTGTTCATATTGATATATTTCATGTACATTCCTATTCAATATGATATTAGCTTGTTTTGTTATATTATTTGTTACTGAGTAATGTGATTTTTTTTTGCTTATCATCGATTTTGTTATTGATAACTTGGCCATATTCCTTAGAAATTCACTGATGTGCAAAACTGTGTCTATCTCTCCCTTTCCTAATGTTTTGTATATTGTAATCTTTGCATTGTTTATTGTACTACATGTATTTTTAATGTGAACATATAGAAATATGTATATGATAATATGAAACTGTTATTGTATATTTTTGGTCATGCATCAATATTTTACTTGTGTATTATTGTATCATTTGCTTTTGAAACGGCATTAAAACCATTTATGCATAAGTCTATTACACTAGTTATGATTTTCTTGAATGACAGATATGAAATCCTGCTACAGAAATTGTGGTATTTCCAGCGATGGTAAACAGTTTCAAATGTATATTTGCATTAAATTTATACTAATATCTGGCTACAGTGTTGTGATGCCAAAGGCATGGAGTAAATTTTATTTAACAAGCCAACAGTGAAGCTCATGTCCCCCGCCGAAATCCCAAATTAAAAAGATGACACATATTAATTAATTGCACATTTATTTTTTTCATAAGCATTAAGCAATCAAACTGATTATCAACTATACACTAAGTTTCATCACTCTCTATCAGATAGAATCAAAGGTATCTTGTTCCAAAGCATCGACCAATGAAATGGCTTAGCTCTGCTTAGCTTTAGCTTGAAATGTTAATCATTGAACTCCGTCAAGACATTCACCTAATGAACATCTATATCAAGTTTAAACATTCTACCTCAATTAAAAGCTGGGTTGTTATGTTTCAAAGTCTTGATCAATCAAATTGATTATCTCTCCATAGCCTACCAGAAAATTCTCATCATCGAACTTAGCAGATTGCTTATCTCTGCTTACCATAAACAGACAATGTTTATCACCGAACTCCATCAAGGCATTCATCTAATGAACACCTACACAAATTTTGAACATTCTACCTCAATTAGGAGAGTTATTGTGTTCCAAAGTCTCGACCAATCAAATTGCTTATCGTTCTGCTTACCCGAGCAGAAAATGCTCATTATCGAACTTAGTCAAGGTATTGATGTAATAAAACTATACACCAAATTTCATCACTCTCCCTTAAATAGAACTAAAGTTATCGTGTCCCAAAGCATCAACCAATCAAATTGCTTAAATCTGCTTACCCTAAGCAGAAAATGCTCATCTTCAAACTCCATCAAGGCATTAACCTGATAAACACCGACACCAAGTTTGAACATTCTAGCTCAATTAGAATGAGAGTTATTGTGTCCCAAAAAGTGTGACGGACGGACATGCAGACAGACAGAAGAACCCATTTTAATAGTCCCCTGCTTTCTTCGAAAGGCGAAAGGCGGGGGACAAAAAAAATAAAGATGCATATATACTTTAAGTATGTTGGGTGCATTAGCTGATATATGTATATTGTTCAGGAGCTTTTGGGTCAAAGAACATTCACAGGATCTATTAATGTACATAGATGAATATGTAAAGATACAAATGAAAGTGTAACATCCTATTTTTCTGCACTGACTGGGTTAATGAAGACAGGTATATGCCATGCTATGAGGGAAACTTTGACCTGGACAGCAGAACTATGACATACTTTTATTTCAAATCCCATTTGTCAAGGGTTCTTTTATGTACATGCCAATGTTTACACAGGGCCTTGGTTTTCCGTACCATCCGAATGACTAGTCTAAAAGTATATGACATGCTAGCGACAATTAGATTTGACTTCCAAGATATATGCAAGTGTCACATTTCAAACTATATGGTCTAAGGACATATTCATCTACATGTAGTTAATGAAATTGACTGCCGTTCCTCTTTGTAAATGATAAAGACCGCAAAAATGTGAGTCAAAAGGTTGTGATATTTAAAACAAGGCCGGGAGAACAGTCTTAACATCAAAACTAAATAAAAAAAAAAGTAATTTGAATGAGATTGCAATTTTCAGTTGCTTCTTTAACAATACTAAATATTGTAACATGTTCAATCAAATGTGTTGACCAACAATAGAATTCAACAGGCAAAAAATCATACAAGTCAATAATACTCTGAGAAGTGTCACTTAAGACTTTCTCCATTTGGAATCCAGTCGTGGAAAAAATAAAAAAAAATATTGACATCTATTTTATTAACTAAAGAGATAAAAATAGCAATAAAATAAAAGGAAAACAGCAAAATAACAATATAGCATGAAATGTGGAATGTAAGAAAAACTGACTACAAAAAAAAACCGAGATATCTAAAACATTGCACCACCCAATAGTAAAGTCATCTGTGTTACTTATAAAACATTACCAGGGGCTTGCCCACTAGCAGCGAAGTCACATTGATAGCTATATAACCATGTTATAACAATTCCATCAATGGGGTTCTAAATATATGCCAAAATTAATAATGTTTTTAAAACATAAATTTTGCACTCTTTTCTATATTGCATTCACAAGAAATTGTGGACGGACAACATACCACTGGATACAGGCGACAATATACATCCACATAATATGTGGGCATATAACAATGAAGTAATAAAATGATTACTGATTCACTCCCTGTAAATATGATACTTGTGAAATAAAGGAGACATTTTTAGTGAATAGTTACCAGACATAAACACATGGTATTATATCTTTATACTATTGATTTCCAGGAGAAAGTCTAGAATCTATGATCAATGGAATAAAGATTCCATAGATGATAAACCATAGCGACCATGATGAGATACGATACAGCCCTGAAACCTGCAGGAATATAACAAGAGATCAAATAAATAATTATAACATAATATATAATAAGCTTGAAGCTTGTAGGTAAAATATTTGATAAATATAACAAACAGATATTATCAAGCAATAAATACTAATAAAATAAGTAGTAACTATAAGATGTAAAGAGATAGTGGAATTCTAGTGGTTTGGGACTTTTAAGGACTAAATCATTTACTGATTTAAAAGCAGCTTAACATTCAATGAAAAATAAACCAAATTAATTAACACATGTTTGCAGTTGAAATTCATTGTGAGTGCCAAAAATGTGGTATGTTAAAATAATTTTGTTAAAACATTTGGACATTTTTAATTTTTCAAAAGACTGTTAGGAATAATTTCTTACTTCACTATAATAGAACTGATACATTATTACCTTAGCTTTAATAAATAAAATGTATGTAACTTGACAAGGCTAAGACAATAAAATATTCTCATGCAAGTTGTACATGCATTGATGAGAAAAATATTTAAAATTAGGTTATATAAATAGAGGGATGTTGCTAATCTTGCTAAGATAATTTATTATTATGACAAACAGAATTATCATTGTTTTAATAAATATATATCAACATAGACTACCCTTATCTAAAATATTTCACTCGGCATAAATATTTTTGTGACCTGTGTAATAATCATATTTTAAGTTTGGAATGCTACATGTACAAACACACACTGACGACCATAATGTGAATCAATAGAATTGAAATGGGGTTTAACATCCTTCCGTTCAGCTCCAGCAAGGCTATTGGAAGATGGGAAGAGATACAAGAGACATTTATAATATCCATACTATTATTCTACTCAAGCATTTTAAAACTATGCATAAAAAATAAACAGTATATAATGGTAAACAAATAACATCTAATATACATATAAAGATTGGCAAGTCATATATTTCATATGTATTTAACTTTTATAGACAATTAGAGACCTCTATTCTGGGATATGTTTATTAATATAAAAGATAACAGAAAGCCTTAGGATTATAACTTTAACACAGTCTGTCAATGATTTACAAACAGTATCTATAACAATTTATCTAACATTAACAGCCATGTTCCATTAAGTAGATACCCATAAGGTTTAACATGCCCAGTTGCCTACCTTTGCATAACAGGTAAACCATATTTACTTGGATTACCTCTTTGTAAGATAAATGTAAATAGGTTGTGTTACAAGCAAGGTACACATTATGTTTGGGGTGGGAGTTGGAGTTGGGCTCATTCAAATTCCTAAATGCAACTATTCATAGATGACAACAAATTCTATCCATGTTGTTTGATATGATCTTTAGATTACTGTCCTTGTCTAGATTTCTGGTATTCCTGATAATAGGATTATAAAATCATAAATTATACATTATAGCAATTATTTTCAGGGCTGCAATTTAAATGCAGAATTCATAATAAACATGGAGGTGGCATTAATTTATACCACATTCTATCAATAACACTATATCTGATTATTGAATTCAAATTCAATACAAGTCCATTTACAACATATATTACATATTAATATTATAATATGATGAACAATACAACAAATTTAACATGTACCATACTCTTATACTCAGAACAGTGATACCTTATAATTAACCTTAATGATGACTGATAGGTGATACTTCATTTTGCATACTAATATATACCTGATTGTTACTATAACTACTATTTTCCTACTCCTATATTTCTACTCGTGTTCCTATATTCTACTAATTCTATATTTCTCATTATTCTAAGTTTTCCAAAATCAATAACACCCATTTTCCATATATATCCCATTACTCTGTTTCCAACATATACCATTACTATCATCTATTCCTATATATCCTATTTATCACATTTATTCTTTATGTCCCATTATTGACATACTCCCCATCAACAATAAAATAGGAACTTTTCTTTGATATCAGTAATAAATATAGCAAAATAATTACCATGAAAGATTTTGTTTCATTATGTTGAATACTACTCTAAGGGAAGTATCACAGCCATATCAACCATTACAATAAATATGGGATATAGCTGGATTAATTTTCATAAACAAATCGAATTGAAAATCAATTTAATAATTATACATGTACATATGCTGTACTTTCGAAAATCTGTTTCTGTGCTACTGCTATATGATATGTCTTAATTATAGAAAAGTTCTAATTTATTGCTTTTTATATATTTTGAGAATTTGCTTCATAAATCATGAAAATAGAAGTTACGAACATTTTTAAATGGGCTTGTTATACATAAAGCATGGTATCACCATAAAACAATACTCTTTTTACCTTTATGTATTAACCATAAAGTATTACACTTGTTCCATCAGGTATCACACCATGAAGTATTATTTTTGTTGACTATCACTATTTTAGTTGACTATCACTCTTGTTAACTGTATGCATGAAATATCACCTTTGTTCAGTATCACCAGGTAGTATCATTTTTGTTGACTATCACCATAAGTATCACTTCTGTTAACTATCACCAGGAAATAACAATATTGTTAACTATCACCATTAAGTATTATTTTCTTTAAAATAGATTTTTCTTGTCACTATCACTATCACCTGTTTGTAATGTTTGGCTACAGAATAGTTAAGGTAGGTTATAATTATATTAAAGTTTTAGAATTCTAATAGATAAATTTTAAAGTCAAGATATAGCTAAGATTTAATTGTATTATTTAAATCATCTACGGCTCTCAATTCAATTAATAGAATCTACCTTCGTCGAATCTATTTCTTAAAAAAAACACGAACCAACTAACCATTCACTTAAAGAGGCATTATCACTTTCCAACCAACCATTACCATAATGAAGCATTATCACTTTCTCCTAGAAAATATGTTGATAAAACGAACTGAATACACAACCTATTGTGAAAAAAGTATAAAGCACATGCTGTTATGGTAACTGATAAGTCTCAATCTATTATGAACAAGCCTATTGTACAGAACATCCCTATAGTTTGAGACTGAACATGATGGAAAAGTTCAGCGATTCGCAGGGGATTCTTTGCAAATCTCTAGCGAATTGCTAGCGTGCCAACATCTTCCCGATTCTAGCGTGTTGAAGGAATATGTACTTTATTTAAGTTGAATATATGTATATTAATTTTGAGCGAGGGTCAAACTAATGTAATCTACAATCTATTTGAAACCACGTAAAATAGTAATGCTGTCGCGAAAAAAATGCACAGGAAAAATGTACGAGCTGCTTTAAATACGGACGCAATAATTTGTTAATTAATTCACTGGTAATCTATATCAGTTAGGATTAGGTGTGTGTGTGGGGGGGGGGGCTTTACATGTATGCGAACAGTGAACAACTTACAATTTCTTAAACATATCATTTGGTCTTCATCTATAACTTATAAATCGTGGCAAGAAGATGTAATCCATTACTCATTGCCTGCTATCATATCCAAATTTTGAATTATTTACAATGGGCTTTTACACATTACTTCATTACTCGTAGGTTCAGTTAATTTAAATTGGAAATTTCTAGTGGGAAATCATGACGAAACACAGTGGATTCCTGGCGAAAAACACGGTGGATTGGTAGCGAAACCGTAGCAAAAAATCACTGTTGATTCCTAGCGAAAATTCACAGAGGATTCTTAGCATTTTTTTTTTTTGCGGTGTTCAAGCGGTCCAAAAAATTTGAAACAAACTGTATACAGTAGAGTGAAATTATATCAAATATTTCTTTTAGTGATTAACATTGATGGACTTATTAATGCTGTTTAAGAAAGACATAACATTAAACCATGTAAAAATACTCTATATCATTATATGAAATCGGTACAAATATTCTGGGAAATAAAACATCAACACCTTGTGTTGCCATATAATTAGATTTTAAAGATAAATTTATCTTTCATCATCTAATTTTAAAAGGATACATTGAAGAACTCAATCCTTGAAGCTGAAAAAGAAGTCAAATTAAATACATTAAATAAATGTCTATATTGCATATTTATTTCAAATTAATTACAATGCACACACTGTTAAATAGTGGTGACATGCATAGTGACACTCAACACAAACTAGGTCAATTCCGGACTAACATAATATGGTATAATGTTTTTTTCCGTAGGAGGTTGACTTGACTCGATGATCTAAAGCACACAAATTGGACATGCATAGAAGTGAGAGGGTCAACAAGGCTCTGACAAAAGCTAAAGTAATTTAATGTTGAGCAGTAGAAACCTACTATAAGTATTTTATTACCTGTCCAATTAATTTATTGAGATTTTCGTTTGCTGCAGATCTAGCTTCATCTGAATTTAACCTGAAATTACAAAGATAGGACCACCATACATTCATGATCATTGATGTAGTTACCTGAAGTTTATATCATCAAATACTAACCAAAAAAGTATTTATAACCTCTCTGAGCGTCATTAAAGGGTTTCTTAATCCCTTGCAAACTACAATATTGTACAAGTAGACCATCGGTCAAAAAATGGTTCAATTCCATTCAGTATTTACAAAGATTTATCCGGGCATTTGATTGGTTGTCTAATCAAGGTCATCAGTTTGGTTCAATTCCATTCAGTATTTACAAAGATATGGTGAAATAAAAACTGTCAACATTTGGCAGCCTGTGCAGACAATATGAACAGAATATGCTCAAAAAATGTCACAGTCACATATAATCTTTGCTAAAAATCCTCTGATGGACCTCTTTTTGATGCAATTAAAATGAAGCCAAGAGATTATCTACCATTGATATTTTGATTTTGCTTTCTTTATCAAATATTTTAGGGCAGATTAAGCCTTGAAAAAGTAGGTCCAAAAAATGCAAATGATGATCAGCAGATTTTATATATTTCTATAACATAACATTATCACTTCATGTAAATAATAAAATATAATGGTTCCTAAAGCAGAACAACTACAATAAATTATAACAAAAGAGCCTACCATGCAACGAAACATACACCCACAGCAGCTAAGTCGACCGAGCAGTAAACAAAGTTTGCCATATATTTATTATTTTGTTGGTAATAGGAGTATGAATATAAACACACTGTCTGAATTTGAAGTCCATCAAATGATAACTTTAGACTCCAGACAATCGACAAATATTTTCGAAGAGGCCATACCTCTGACAGTTATAATCATAAATCATTGGAAATCAATAGTCTTAATTCTTTGCGTAATGAACATAAAATTTCAATCGTTAGACGCACAGACAGACAATAACATACGACCACATTTCAATGTGGGCGTATATATAAACATGAGACTTGTCATTACCTATGCATGTCTTGTTGTATATCAAGATCAAAATGTAATCTAGCTAATCTCTCTTGTTGTTCTCTTACTTGATCCATTTGGTCGAAGGTTGAACCACCACCTACATTGTGTATATGAAAGCATTAAGACCCTGATGTATCATTCAAATCAAATATTTATAGAAATATTAGCCATTAAAATAATCTTAAGATGTAATATGTCAGACTGCTCAAGAAATGAAATGGGGTTTAATGTGTTTGGCCCAACTAGGCTAATAAAGATGGGCATTCATGCAGTGCTCTATAAGGGACATTTCCTGTGACAGTGGCACTACAGCCTACTCCTTTTTCGATTTCCAACTGGACACAGCACCTTGCCCATTTGATAGACTCTATACCGGAACTTTCCCCATTTCAATAGTATAATATTCCCAGATCTTCAACTTTATTAAACTTAATCGATAGAGATATGTTGATTATAATTTCTCCCTCAATCACCCTCTACTTGAAAAGAAATTTGTTTTTCCGCACATGTAGAAAGTATAGACTGGTTACATTAAGGAATTGGTAACAGAAAACCTATTATATATGTTTTTAAAGCAACAGAATGTCGATTGTATTAGATCTGATATTAAGCTATGTGCGAAGTGTTTAATACAATCCCACAAACTTACCAAATGCTCTCAGTTTGCCTGAGTGAAATTTATCTAATAACTGTAATAAACCTTGTTCCATTTCTCGTACATCTGCCACATCTGTGAGGAAAGAATGTTCTTTACATGGACGATTTGGCTGTGAATCTTCTCTCTCCCTCTCTTTACCTGTATACAAAATACAATTACCATTTATTATACTAGATATGTACCATCTCAGTACAAAGATGGCACCTTTTCTTCTTTCAGTGTTGGAATGTCTACTCAATTTATTCTAACATCTTGGTTATGATTAAAAGAGCAAGAAATTAAAAGTACTGTAGGTTTTAGTGGGAATTAAACTTTATACTGTACTCAATGATGCAATGCACAATTAAAATTGGCAAAATGTACATAACAGACTGAATTAATGAATTAACATATAAAATAGATGTATTATATCGTTTACCTTTCACTTTATCAGGTTTTTTTGTTGAAGATGAATGTGCATGATTTGCTTGTTTTTTACTCTTTCTCTCTGCAGATGGTATACGTCGCCGTTGTTCTTTGGGTTTTGGTGTTGACTCCATTATTATCTATTTCTTATATCAAAATCTACTTATTGTTGCATTGTACATTTATCTATTCAAAAAAAAAGGAAATGCATACCATGTCTTGTTTGTACTCTCATAGCCTTTCAAATTCAAGAGCCAGAGTTTTGTAGAATTTAACCTTGGCGGGGTTTCAGCAGCAAAGCAGAATCTACTTATAAGGTCAGTGTGTGTAGGCCTACTTCACAAATCATACTGCAAACTTTAAGCCCTGTGTATTAGACCAATTTCATTTTTAACAATTAATGTAACATTGACCATTGAGTTTTTGAAAATATAGCACCACCATTGAATGCCGTTCACCCTGCAGGCAAGTTGTTTATATTTGAGAGAAATTTTGTCGAGATTTAAAATTTTCATTGAGACGGATCCTGGCACTAGTGCTACTAGCTACTATCTAAACCATTGTGAATTTCAAACGGATTTCTTAGAGCTACTTAACTTTGGTTATTATAAACTTACCTGTGTGTTTAAAATCAACTCCTGTTCAATAAAATCCATAGCACAACTATCCCAACAAATAAAAAAGTTCTCTCTTGAAAAATGTGACTATTTACTTGTAATTTCGGCTGAGTAGAAGACAACAATACTTTTATCACGTTCTGGGGGGAACCAATGCAGCTGTTGCGGGGGTGGTTTAATGTTGACAGATAGTTTGACAACCATGTGTTGCAATGAAAACAAAGTGCGATCATTACGATCGTTTGAGTTTGGGCGACGAAAAATATCACTTGAAGGAAATTACATAGGAGATTTATATTGAAACCATTGATCGCCTGTCTATCAAATTTTATTCATAATGAAAATATCACTGATTGCATAGATACTCATAAAAATAAAGTCATATATAAACTAAAAATATCCTATCTTCTTTATGTTATAAATAATCTAACAAGGATCATAAAGCTCACCTCCAAAGTCTCTGAATGTACCCTATAATTTGATAGCATTCTTTCGACCAAATAATAACCGCTTCAAATAATTAAAACAAAATATTTCAAAAGGTACAGTTATAAAATTTACAGAGATTTTACTGGAATGTAAAAGACTGTAACAAAATAAAAGAATACGGACAGTTATGTGTGTGAACACTCAAACTCAATGCCGAGTCGAGACTTATAAACCAAACTTGAATTGTCGTAAAAGTACCGAAAACCGTTTCGATTTGCTATGCTGTCACATCTTATACGAAATGATATCTCACAATTAGTGACGTATCTAAATCAGCTTCCATATTCAATTGGTATTTTCCGGTGTCAAAAGTTTGTGGGATTTCAATTTTTCAAGAGAGAACTTATGTATTCGTTGGGATAATTAGTTGTGCAATGTATTTTATTTAACGGGAGTTGATTTCAAACACACAGGTAAGTTTATAATCAAAGAAATCCGTTTAAAGCGGTAATTTCATATTTTTTAAGAAAGTCAAAACATAATTATTTCTATGTCTTTTGCTCAATAGGTTATCAACTCACTATTATACGACCATGGGCATTATTTCCCACCCTTAAAAATCATTGACACAGGAAATAATAACACAATTACCTCCCTTGTTTTCCTATTGCCTCCATGCATTAGCTACCTTCAAACGTTGGAATTTGAAGTTGAAAATGATATTTTTGCCAATTTCTCAGCTGGCAATAGTGAATTATAGGATTAATAGGATTATTCTTTAACAAGGTAGGACGGTTTATGGATACCATCTATTTTAAGGCTTTATTTTAATAAATTTTAAAAATATAACTTAAAAATATGAAATTGTAACTTTAAAATTTACGATGGTTCAGACAGTAGGATCTTAATGGGAGCTATTGCACTTTCGTACCTCTACCAGTTCCCGTGGTCGTAGGCACTTGAAATTTTCAGAGGATGTTAAGGGGGACTAGCAATGACCACACACCGAATTTCAGCCGAATCGATCAATAACTTTTTATTTTACCGACCTTTTAATTTCTAACGAGAGAGAACTTCATCCGTTTGACGCCATTTGCTTTGTTTACTATTTAGACTCGAATAACAAGAGACTAAGACGGAAACCGACACACTGCACTAGCTGCCTAACACTGCAGTTCATAAAAAATAATATAATTTTCGTATACTTTAATTTTTACGCGAAGCCACCATTTTCTATAAAATATTATTTGGTGTTGATCGGTGGATTGGCCTTTAGGTCTGAATATTGCCGTGACCTTGATTTTGACCTTGAGTCCAAGCATTAACTTTGATAATACAGCAAGAAATAGGGCCATGGCAAGCATAAACGCAAAGGGCCTGAGATGGATGGGAAGTTTGGAGTCAAGGTCAAAATCAAGGTCACGGCAAGTTTGAACTCAAGGTCAAAATCAAGGTCACGGCAATATTCAGACCTAAAGGCCAATCCACCGATCAACACCAAATAATATTTTATAGAAAATGGTGGCTTCGCGTAAAAATTAAAGTATACGAAAATTATATTATTTTTTATGAACTGCAGTGTTAGGCAGCTAGTGCAGTGTGTCGGTTTCCGTCTTAGTCTCTTGTTATTCGAGTCTAAATAGTAAACAAAGCAAATGGCGTCAAACGGATGAAGTTCTCTCTCGTTAGAAATTAAAAGGTCGGTAAAATAAAAAGTTATTGATCGATTCGGCTGAAATTCGGTGTGTGGTCATTGCTAGTCCCCCTTAACATCCTCTGAAAATTTCAAGTGCCTACGACTACGGGAACTGGTAGAGGTACGAAAGTGCAATAGCGCCATCTTAATGCTTATTATTAATATTTTTAATTATTAGATACTAAGTAAGATAGATTACTGTGTGAACCATCGTAAATTTTAAACGGATTTCTTCGATTATGAACAAACTACTTAACTTTGGTTATTATAAACTTACCTGTGTGTTTGTAATGAACTCCCGTTCGATAAAATCCATTGCACAACTAATTATCACAACGATGAGAACAAGTTCTCTCTTGAAAAATTTGAAAATTTACTTGTAATTTCGACAGAGTCGATGTCAACAATGTCTTCGTGACCTATTGGTCGAATCCAATATACCTGTTGCGGGGGTTGGTTAACATTGAAAGATAGTTTGACAGCGCGATCATTTTGATCGTATATGGGTTTAGGCGACGAAAAATATCAATTGAAGGCAATTACATAGGAGATTTATATGGAAACCATTGATCGCCAGTCTATCAAATTTTCTTCACAATTAAAATATCACTGATTGCACGGATACTCGTAAAAATAAAGTCATGTATAAACTATAAATATCCTATCTTCTTTATGTTGTCTTTGAAAGGCATTTAGTGAAAGTGATATATAATAACAGACAGCTTTATGGATGACATTCACTAGGTTTATTAACTGCAGCGTTTCAATGATAACGGTGAGAGTAACCTCATTGAAACGTTGCAGTTAATAAACCTAGTGAATGTCATCCATAAAGCTGTCTGTTATTATACTTCTTTATGTTATAAATAATTCAACAAGGATCATGAAGCTTACCTCCGAATTCTCTGAGTGTATTTTTAATTTTATACGCATTCTTTCGATCGAATAATAACCGCTTCAGTAACATATATAATGGTATATAATGCTACTAAGCCTGTATGACCCCGTAAGAAGCGGAACATTAATTCTCGATTCGACAGTTTTGACCGAAGTGTGATAAAGCCCGTAAAACGAATGTATAGTTGTGTTTGTGCGGCATGCGTGTTCAAAAGTAAATAATCCCATCCAAGTCGCTAATCAAATAATTAGAACAAAATATTTCAAAAAGTAAAGCTATAAAATTTGCAGAGATTTTACTACTAGAATGTAAAAGACGGTAACTAAATACAGGAATGCGGGTAGTTATGTGTGCGAACGCTCAAACTCAATGCCAATTGTCGTAGGTATCCAGACCACTCGGACTAAAGACTACTCGGACTAAGACCAGTCGGACCAAAACAAGACCAGTCGGACCAATTGAATTATATTATAAGGCTAGACAATATGCTATTTATTTATTATTAAATCACAATACAAAGAAGCAAATAATTCTTATACGGAATTCTTATATTTAGAGTTGTTTAGTTCAATTTTGTGTACGGAAAATAAATCAACGATTAGTTTTAAAATTAATTAATAATGGTGCCAAAAAAAATATCAATCTAATTTTTCTTATTTACTCTTGCAATGAGACTCGGTATGTCCAGACTTTTGACAGTTTCTACATATACGGGTATACTGTTCTTGTCTGATAGCCTAATTTTACTTTTTCCACATTCGCGGTATCCCCAGTGGTTTCATTCCGTTCTACCCCACTAACCCCTGGGTTACTATATATGGGGGGGGGGGGGGAGACACGTTTTCAAGTTATCCGCCCTTGATGCGTTAATATAAACAGCACATAATAATACGAAGACCGGACGTTTATATGTCCATTTTTAAACGAGACTACAAGTGTGGTTCTCGATATTTTGCGATTTGGAATACAATTATCAATTTATTCAAACAACACGTTATTATTAGTTCGAGTAGTCATATTAAAACACACACAATTAGCAATTTATTCAAATAACACTTTATTATTGGTTCGAGTAGTCATATTAAAATAAACACAATTATCAATTTATTAAAATAACACTTTATTATTGGTTCGAGTATTCATATTAAAGGCTCAATACCACTCTTGTTGTAACTGAATAATATGTCCCAATCTTTATTCTGGTCAACAAATTGTACTATTTTAGACCTTTCAATTAATTGATGATACAAATTTCATCTTAACACACCTTATTTAAAAATTTTAAAATATTCAACATAATGTTTTGAAACGTCTAACATAAACCTTTTCAAATGAAACTTCGATTTAAAAATATTTTCGAACCCTCTGGACAAGTAAAATAGGATGTAATGGATAATTTCCACAGCAGGTAGGACACTTAAACATCTAGTACTTAGATAGAGATATTATTTATTTTCTGGAGCTTTCAAGCCAGCAAGAGTGTTATTGTCCCTT